CTACAGCCTGAGCGAAGGGAACGGTGGGGGATGGAGCATCTCTCCCAAATCTTGGCCGCTGGATGCAGTTCTGGATCATAGAATCATAGAATGGTTTAGGTTGGAAAGGACCTTGAAGATCACGGAGTTCCAACCCCCCTGCCATAGACAGGGACACCTCCCAGTAGACCAGGTTGCCCAAGGGCACGTCCAGCCTGGCCTTGAACACCTCCAGGGATGGGGCCTCAAAAACCTCTCTGGGCAACCTGTTCCAGTGCCTCACCACCCTCAAAGTGAACAACTTCTTCCTTCCCTTGGATGAAGGGCTGAGGCCCTGCTCCTCGCCTCCTTGGCTAGTCCAAGGAGGAATCTGTCTCTCCCCCCTGTGCTCTGGAGCTGCTGCCTGGGGGACAGGGACCTTTGCGCTCAGGTGTTTGTCATGAAGAAGCAGAAGCGAAGGAGAAAGCAGCCGGAGGGGCGGCAGGGGAAGGTAAGCTCTGGCAGAGGCCCATCAAGCTCATGATCCTGCCGCCCAGGAGTGACGAAAGCCGGTGCCTGGGCAAGAGCACAAAACCCAAGCAGAAGCGTGGAGTGCTTCCACCTGGCTCCATGTTATCTGCAGCTCCGTGAAGGGGAATCACCTCTCAAGTCCAGTCTATGGTTGGACTTGATGATCTTCAAGGTCCCTTCCAACCTAGACAATTCTATGATCTCGAAGTCAAAAGGCATTTGTCCCAGAAGTGCTTCACCTCCTCTTGAACCAACATAAACCTCCGCTGCTCCAGCCCCCAGTGGCAAGGTGTTTCCCAAGTAGTCACCTGGTCCACCTAAACCTGCCTTCTATAGGCTTCATGTAACACCCCAGGTCTTGTATTTGAAGACAGTGAAGTCCCTCTCCATGTCACCTGTAGTTCTATCTCTACCCTGTCCCCTCTTGGGCATCTCATTTTCAGATAGAGTCGTCCAGCTTGGCTGGAAGGTGGTCCAGACCTCTGGTGTCCCCAGGGCCTTTGCAGAGCTTGTCCCAGCTCTGCTGCATCTTTCTCAGGATGAAGGGACGTGTGTTTGGGTGCTGGTGCACCACTGACTTCACAGCAGCAAAATGTTTTTCATTTTCTTCTCTTCTCCCTTGCTAATGTCTCATTTGATTTTCTGGTGGCTACTGAGCACTAAACCTGATGTTTCCATGGACCCATCAGGGATCACCCCAAATGTCACTCCTGAGTGGTAAATGGTCAACTTGGAGCCCACCATGTAACACTAAGGGCTCCCACATGCCTAAATTCACCCTTATCTATGCTGAATTGTCCTCATTACATGGGGAGGACCTCACTGTCCTCCTCATCAGCCCAAATATAGAAAAGGGAAGCAGAAAATGGGGCTGTCCCTTTCTACCACCCATCATTCACCTTCCTGCAGCTCGTGGGTGGACACAGGGCTGGCACAGAGCTGTGGCTCTCCCGCGGGTCACACCACAATGGGGAACTTCATCCTCTCGTGCGTCCCCTCTCCACGTTGCTTCTGGCACACAAGGAGACTTGAGCACGAACTTAAGGTCCACCTCTGTGCGCGGCTGAGGCCACCTGAGCTGCCACCAAAGGGGTCCCCAACCACATGCTGCTGGGGCAGTGGTTGAGGGCTCGAGGTGGAGCAGACGGTTGAGCCAAGGAGCTGAGACAGCCAACATCTAGACATCCTTCGCGGTGCTTCCAGCTCCTTCGGGTCACTCTCCCCAGGTCCCAGCCAACCCAGCCCTCACCGGCAGTGACACAACTGCAGCAGCACGGGCACAGCCAGTGCTGTAGGAAGGCGTCACCCTCTAGTGACACAAAGGCAGTTGCTTGGAAAAATATCCGTGTCTCCTCAGTGCCGTACCGCCCAGCGATGCCTCGCGGGGGGGTGGGGGAGGCTGAGAGCACTCTCCTCCCCCGAAATGACGCTGACGAGCCATCCCAGGCACTGTAATCCCTTAAGATAACCTTTTCCACCAACGAACCATGTCTGAGTGCCCCGCTGCTCTCCACCTCGTGCGGAGAACCTTTCTGAAACACAGCCTGACGGAAGGCGCGGAAAATTTCAGCTTGGATCAGCTGCCTGGCAGAGCTGTCCACAGCCAGATGGTGGGAGCAGGAAGCCCGAGAGCTGCCGTCGTCATGGCAGTGCCGGAGCAGCCCGCCACCATCCCCAGCACAGACAGTGGTGGAGATGGCAGTGACCAGCTCTCCTGGCTCATGGGGAGCTCTGGACCAAGGTGGGCTCCACTCCAGCATGGAGAGTTGGGTGGAGAGGAACCTAATGAAATTCAACAAGGGCAAGTGTAGGGTCCTGCATCTGGGGAGGAATAACCCCCTGCACCAGTACAGGTTGGGGACGGCCTGCTGGAGAGCAGCTCTGTGGAAAGGGACCTGGGAGTCCTGGGGGACAACAGGATGACCATGAGCCAGCAATGTGCCCTGATAGGCAAGAAGGCCCATGGCATCCTGGGGGGCATCAAGCAGAGTGTGGCCAGCAGGGCGAGGGAGGTCATCCTCCCCGTGGAGGTGGGCTTTTAAATTTAAGAACCTTGACATTTAAGAAGGCTCCACTTTGCCAGCAAAGCACACGTAGTATTGACCTGTTTCAAAAACCAACATATTCCTCTCTTCCTGAATATTGACCCAACTCAGTTACAAAGGAACTGCAATTCAGACCCCAAAAACTCCTGCTTTACAAACGGGAGACTTTTTCTAGTAACACCTTTCAATATTTTCAGAAGGGAAAAAAAAAAAAGTAAACAATAATTTTCCGTATCAATTAAAACCAGCAACGGGCACAAACTTGACCACAGGAAGTTCCATCTCAACCTGAGGAGGGACTTCTTTCCTGTGAGGGGGGCAGAGCGCTGGCACAGGCTGCCCAGAGAGGTGGGGGAGTCTCCCACTCTGGAGCCATTCCAAACCCGCCGGGACGCCGTCCTGTGCCACTGCTGGAGGTGCCCCTGCTCTGGCAGGGGGTGGGATGGGGGAGCTCCAGAGGGCCCTTCCAACCCCCACCAGTCTGGGATTCTGGGATTCGCAGCGTGGGGCAGGGAAGCAGGGCTGAAACCCCGGCAGCAACCCCGACCTGCTGCATTAGCTGCCCCTGGGGTTCTCCAGCCACACCGAAGCTCTGCCGCTGCTCCAGCAATGCAAGAGTGCTCGTGTCAAAGAAGGGGGGTGTCCTTCTGGGAGGCAGCGGTCCCCCCCAGCCTCCTTTCCTACAACAGGACCCATCGTTTATCCCTGCCATCCTCATCCTCACCTCAGGAATCAATTTCCTTGCTAATGGCTCTGGCCACACACAGAGGAACACGGATGTCGTCTTCACCCAGTCAGCACCAGAGACTACCGCGACTGGATGTGTCCCCTCAGGCAGGACG